ATATATCTAAATCACAAATATTATATATTCAAAAATTGATGAATCATTAATCATTGAAATTGAATGTATTAAAAAAATTGTATTATAAATTTAATTTTATTATATTTTATTATAAATTATATAACAAATTAATTTATAGTAATTATAAAACGATAAGAAATAATATAATGATAATAATATAATTTTTAATTTTATAGAAAATGTTATAAGAAACTCATAATTCGTTATTTAAATTTTACAAAAAATTTTAAATACTTTAATTTTATAGATTTAATATTTACATTTAAAATATCTTTGATTATTTTAATTATATATAATAAAATCTAGTATATTGTACATATATTAGTATATGTTATTAATAATTAATATAATAAATATATATATTGTTTATAGAATAATATATATATTATTTATTTAAATACTAATATATTTTATAAATTATAGAAAAAACTTAAGCATAATTTCATCATATTTCTGTTGTTAAATAAATTCTATTGTTAAAAATGATGAATATAATGACAATTATATCATATTTATTCAAATAGATGAACATAATTTTATTTTTATTTAATAAAAAAGATTACAATTAAACTTTTGACAATTATTTACTTACTTTTTGGTAATTTATTTATTATTTTGAGTTATTATTTTTTTTTTAAATTATTATAAAATTTTATTATATTTATTATATTTATTATTTTTATTTTATTATATTATATTTATTATATTATCATTTTATCATTTTATCATTACTTCAATTATTAGTTTATCAAATTTATTATTAGTTGATATTACTTGTATATTTATTCTAAATGAATTCTAAATGATATATTTACAATATAGATATAATTTAGATATAATTTATAATATAGATATAATTTAATAGATATAATTTATTCTAAATGAATAGCAATATTTTTAACAAAATTGTCAATTCGATATTAATATAGAAAACTAATGACATTGTTGACAATACATTAAAAGGATTTACATTAGGTTTACATTAAAAAGATATTATTCTAAAATATATAATACAATAATGAAACATGAAATATATTATTATTTCATCATAATTTATTCATATATTATTTCATCATAAAATATTTCATTCAAATAAAAAAAAAATTATTTCTATTATTTATTTTATATTTTTTCATAAGAAAAAAATCATTAAAATTATTACGTATGATATTTTTAACATTAAATTCTATTCTAAAAAGTGTTCCACTTAAGATTTTTCATACTATAATAAATATTTTTCTAAATGCTCAATTATCTTAGTTATGTATTTAATAGTTTAATTAATAATATGATATAATAATGATTAATATAAATATAAAATAATTTAAATATAAATTTTCGAACTATATATGATGTCCATAGCATTATATAAACGCATAATCATAAAAATTTAACACATAGTTATATAAAAAATTTTTTTTTGTTAAAAAAAAATAATCTCTCAATCCAATAATTAATTCTTACATAGATAAATATCAATAGTGTGTTTAATTTTTTTATTTAAATTTCAAATTATTACATTATAGATTTAATACATGATAGACTAATGAGTTTATTTTATATTATGTTTGTAAAAAATTTTTGAAATTTTGTTTTACAATAAATTTATTAAATTAAATTATATCTCTAATTTATTATAAATCTCAAGATTTATAGATCTCAATATTTAAAAAAATATTTATACTTTTTATTTATTTTTTATTTTTCTTTTTTTTTGTTTATGAAACTATTTTAAATATAAATGTAATTTATTTTAATTATAAATGTATTTAAATATTTTTCTTACGAAATAAATGCATATGAATATTAAAAAATTCATTAGTATTTTGTAATAACATAATTTTCGAGATTCTACATTATTTTCGTGCTTTTATATATTTATTTTCTATAAAGTTAATAAAAATTGGAAAAAATTGTTAAACTGATTTTTTTTTAAGATTAATAGTTAACATTATTTATTACTTTTTTTCATAAATTAAGAATAATATTTAAAATTATTACAAATAACAGTATTCGACAAATTTTTATTTTTATTCGATTTTGTAATAATGATTAAATATTTATTACATATTTTAATGTATTATATAAATTTGCAAATCATATTAGAATCTACAAATTTTCGAAAAAAATAATTTGAAAACAATTGCAACTTTAAAAATGTGTTTTGTATTTTTATGATAATAATTATTTAGTTATTTTTAACATGGAATGATTCTATAAATCCTTTTAAATAAAATGATATAAATATTTATTAAATTATAAAATATATTTAAATATACTTAAAATAATCATTACTTTAAATAATTATACTTAAAAGGAAAATATATCCATTTTTATGATATTTTTCAATTTATTTTAAAAATTAAGGATCCAGAACAAAATTTAACCATGCAATAGATTTTTTTATTAAGAAAAACATCAAAGAAGTTATCAAATTATTTTTCCAATATAAAAACGAAATAGTTTAGCCAAATATACAGCAGTGGTGTCCATAATGGCAGTTGTTATGATTTTGATTACATTGCAATTTCTGATTAAATTTTAAAATTTTTTTCAAAAAAAAATGATACAGATTTAAATAAATTTTAATGCATTATAATTTTTTAAAATTATTTTATTAATATATAAATATTAATAGGATAATGTTAAAAAAATTGATTTATTATTCATACATAAATCTTTTATAAATGTAAGCTCAATTGTTTTAAGTAATGGGATAAGATAAAATAGTTTAAATGACGATTACATCGATATTGCAAATATTTCAGATTTCGGAATAATTTGCAAATAATTAAAATAAATAAATAAATAAATAAATAAATAATACATATTCGTCTAAAATGAAAGTACACAACATTTTAAACCGCTTTATTCTTTCTTCTTTATATAGTCATACATTACTTTGAAGAAATTTTAAAAATAAAAGAAAATAAAATAAACAGGTATTTTTAAATTCCCAGTGTAAAAAAAAAAAAACAAAAAATGAATAAATGGTATATTTAAAAATATAAGTAAATGATATATTATATTTTTAATTATTCAAATTTCATTATTATTCAAATATTAAAGAAATAATATGAGATTTAATTTATTAAATATTATATTAAATATTTTACTTTTGATATTTTAACATATTTTTGCATATTATAAGTATTTTTGTATTCTTAAACTTATCATATTCGAATTAATATCCGCAATCTAATAATAGAAAATTATTAATATTATCATAATTTTTGTTTTTTTTTTATCTCTCAATATTATTAAAAAAATTAATGCACAATTTATTTAATTATAATAATTTTAATTAATATTATTTTTAATAATATTAATAATTTTATATTACTTCATAATACAGGATCAATAAAATCAAAAATAAAGAAATATATTATTTGTAAAAATAACTTAAAAAGATATCAATATATTTTATATGCTGGGATATTTAAGAAGTTAATTACGTTCTTTAATGTTCTAATTTTTAATTATCTAATATCTTTCATATATGATATTCTTTATGATTAAATATCCAACTATTCCTATTAAAATATTCGATATCTGATTTATTCTATAAACATTCCGATATCAATTATGTTATTTCAATTTTCATTCGATGAATAGTATCCAATTTTGTAAATTCGAAACCACACAAGAAAATATATTTTCGAGAAACACCATTTACCATAAGAATCATTCTTGTAATTAATTAATTATATTATAATTAATAATTTAATAGTTCGTTAGTGAAATCAGGTTAATTCTGAAGAATGTGACGAACGTTAATAATTTATTTATAAATTTAATATATTCAACGATTCGCATATTTTATACGTAAATCGTGCAAATATATAATATGTATAATTTTATAAATTAACATTTCATTATATAAATATAAAAAAAATGCCAAAGTTCGTTCTGACATCTTTGAATAAATATTAAGAAAGAGAAAATTAAAAAAAAAAAAATTAAAATAATATGATATTTTTTTAATAATAAACAAAATTTGTCTTCAATTTTTCAAATTTAATAATGAAAGATAGTTTCTGTAAAATTAATTTTTATAAATGACACAAAAACTTCAAAATTTTAATATTTTTTTTTATTTTGTTTTTTAAAGTTATATCAAATGAAATTAGCAATCACGTCATGTTTTTGTTGATATATTTTTTAACTTTTAAGTTAACTTTTAATTCTTATTTTTATTATACCATTAATTATAATGTCTTTTTTTGTAATTAAACATTAAACTATATAAACATTAAATATGAATATTAAACGTGTATATATTAGATATGTATATTATTAGATTTTATTTATTAATATTTCAAAATATATAAATTATAATATTCAAAATATATAAATTATGTTACATATTCATATAAATAATGATAATAAATAAACGAATTACGAAATAATGCAAAATTTTTTTTAATCTGTTTCTAGTTCAATTTTCTTCATTCAAAATTATTTTT